AAATTTAAGTTTAGTTACAGTGAAAATGTTTTATAAAAACAAATATACACTGAATATTTCCATAAATTAAAAACAAATACAAACAAACAATGTAGATATTTTCTTTCTGGATATCAATATTCCCTCTCACTGTTCGAAACCCAAACTTTGCAGCATCTTACTAGTGCATGAGAACATGAAATTGGAAGTGGCTAGAAGCAAAAGAAACATTCTTTTTTACACTCATCTAGCAGTACAAAGGTTCCTTAAAATAGGTATAAATTACATTTGCACCCACTTCAAGACATTTCTGCAATGCCAACGCAGTGTAAGGGGACCTTAGCATAAATGAAAATCAAGTCAAAAAATGACTGATCTGTTTTCACTGCTCAAGATGAGTGAAATACAAAAAGTCAACAGTGTAAATAATGAAAATTAAATGAAAAATGCATGCCGGGAAATTTAGACTAATTAAATTGGTCTAAAAGCCTTTTAGTGTTAATAATCTCAGGTGTTATAACTAACAGAAGTAAGGAAACTTGTTCTGATACATTATTTTTAACTGACACTGCCCCTTTCAACAGTGAAATCAATATACTTTAACATTAAGCCCAATCCTGCGATTAGATCCACACAGAGCTCCATGGTAGTCAATGAGGCTCCACATGACAGCAGGAGTAGGACTGCAAGGAGCTCTTTGAATGGTTGAGGCCTTAGTTGTTTTAGCCCATGAGTGCATTTAATTTTGAGCCAATGAGTGACTCATAGTAGAGACTTGAGCTAAACACAGCAAAAGCAAGTACTAATTAAACCCAACTTGGCTTTTGCATCTCAGACCTGACCTGTAATATGCCTGCTAGCCTGGCTCTCCTGAATGCAAGAATAGTCAGTTATGCAGAACTGTACAATAATAACCATGCACCTTTGTGATGAACAGAAATAGAGCACAGGATCAGACCCACAAAACTGCTTTCCCTTTAAGTCAGGATTTGAACTCCTGTCTCCTCAATACAAAGCCAGTACTAACCATCATACCATCTAGCTCACTGTTAGTTCTAGTATTCATAGCTGTAATAGTGAATGACTTTATGCTTTTGGTACATTGTGGATCCCTAGAATTGCCTTTGGAAATAGTTGTCATATCAGCTGCTCCGCGTATAAAGTACAAGGGGCTTCAGAACATAAAAGGGACTCTCAGTTTGCAACCTACTCAATTAAAAAAATAAGTTAAAAGAAGCCTTGTATTCTACACTTACTCTAAGTGACGCTGCTATTTTAGCAGTTTTATAATCACATTTCATTATTTGTTTTTTGTTTTTATATTGTTTTCTCTTTCTTATTGCTATGTGAAAGACCAAACAAGTGAAAGGGGAAAGTGACTAACTGATGATACACAGGGAAACATGAAATTGACTATGCACAAAGTGCTGTCAAATGCCCAAAGTAAACAAACCGAAAAACCAGAGATACGTTTTTTTTCTAATTTCAGTTACTTGTGTCATAATCTTATATGTTACTTGCAATAATACTGGGTAAAAATATTCAAACAGAAGTGTGATTGTGAAAATGGCAGTGTGCCTTTAGTCCTCTTAAAATGTATACTTTACAACTAAAAACATGGAAAAATAATATTTATGTATTTACTGGGCACCAATAATTTAGAAAACATTATGGACCAAATTCAGGCCTGGTGTAAAATGGGTGGGACTATGGAGTTATGCCGGACAACACCAGGAGTGACTTCATATCTCTATAACATTTCCTGTAATAACAAGATTCTTTCTGCTTTTCAGCTTGATGTATTATAAGCAAGCAGTTGCACTAATTCTGTCTATTACCAGCTCAGCTCTTTGTCATTCAACCCACACAAGATATGTTGTTAAGCACCTTTGTTAGAGTCTGCTGCCACTGACACTCAGGCAAGCCAGTGAAGTCAATTGGATTGCATGGGTGTAACTGAGGGCAGAATTCGGCTGTTGGGGTATAAATCCTGAGAAAGGAGTATTGTAAATGGGCAGAGCAGGGAACTGGGTCTTAGCTTTTATGGATTTTATGCCCACTTCTGATACTTACTTGCAGGAAACTAGTGGACAAGGCACACAATCTCTCCGTGCCTCAGTTTACCTCCATGAAACAGCTATCAACACTTACCTACTTCACAGGCACATAGTGCGACTTAATCAACTAGTTTTTGTAAAGGACTTTGAGATTTTTGGCTGAAAGATGCTATGTAAGTGCCAAGTTTTATTACTGAGAGAGACAAGGTAGGTGAAGTAATATCTTTTAATGAACCAACTTCTGTTGGTGGAAGGGACAAGCTTTTTAGCGTCACAGAGCTCTTCCTCAGGTCTGGAGAAGGTAACCAGAATGGCCAAGCTAAATACAAGATCAGACAGATTGTCTACCAACAGAAGTTGGTTTAATAAAAGATATTACCTCACCTATCCTGTTTCTCTCATACCCTGGGACCAACATGGCTACAATAACACCACAGACAAGTATTATTACTCTCTCATATTGCTCTAGGGTGGTATGAGTGAATCTCAGCAGGATGTGCTGAGACTTGCCGGGTCTCTAGATCTCAAATCAAAAGGAGGTAAGGGTCATGAATGATATGCATGCTTCTTTCAGATCTAGTGACCTTAGGTCCTGAGGGCAAGTTCACTTGTTAAAATACTGCTGATTCAGCAGCAGATTTCACACAAGCCAGAATTAACATATCATGCCAATCCATCTCCTCGTGGTGAGACCAAATGCAACACCCACCAGAAAGGAACAGCGATGACTTAGCTCTAGGGATTTTTTTCCGCACAGCAGCTACCTCCAATGACTATATTGCCATACCACATTGCAAACTCAGATCTAGCTGACTGCTACTACCACTCCTTAGTTTCTTTCAGTACTACTATTTCCCAGATTTCTTCCCATTTAGTGTATGTTTCAAATTATTTTTCTCCATAGGTATTAGAAATTTGTACTATTTAAGACGTATTTTCCACGGTGGCTTTAATTATGTTACCCTCTTCCTATATTGCTACCCTCTTCGTGTCCCTTTTTAATATTTGTCTCTTCACAAGTATTTGCAACTCTTCTCAGTTTAGCATCATTTGCAAATATTAAAATGATTTTAACTACATATTCCAGATCATTAATTAAAGGTTAATAAAAATAACATTGAACCTCAAACTGATCCCTGCAATACCCCCACTGGAACCCTCCCCACAACTTAATACAATGCTATTTATCATTACCTTGTGTTTATTGTCCTTGAACCAGTATTCAGTCTACAGGGTTCATATTCAATCCAATTTGAATACATTTTTCTAATAAGATTTTGTGAGTCTGCCTGATTTTTTTGTCCCTTGGGAAGTATACATGAGTGCACAAAAATGTGTGACTACTTTATGAGCACATTATTTGACATGCACCATGCAACCTCCATGACACCACTGCTCTGGGATCTGCACTAGCTGCCTCTTGGATTCAAAGTGAAATATAAGGTATTGATTTTGACCTATAAAGTCTTAAATGAGCTAGGATTTTCCTACCTGAGATACTTCTTTTTACGTGCCATAGTGCTGGAGTTGAGATCAGTAGAGGCATCTGAGCTGGAGCCCCTCAATACAAAAAGGAGGGAGCTGCTGGTTGGGCATTCTCCAGGGCTCCTCAGCTTTGGAATACACTCCCCTTTTGGTTCAAAATAGCTCAACTCTGTTGCTCTTCCAGGCATGCTGCAAAGCCCATTTCTCTGAGTGGGCTTTTCGCAGAACTGAGGCTGACTTAATGGTAAAGTGAGAAATGGAAGGCTCTGATCTGTAATAAGCATGCAGACTAATAATTGTTATGTAGTGACCCATGCTCCAGTTTGACCTTCCTAATTATTTTCATCTTGTATTTATAATTACAGTCAAGGATGTTTGAAACAGCCTAGAGTTTCAGCTAGGCATTCTTTTATGTTGAATTTCAATCCAAATAAGTAAGTAAACATAAATAAATGCATGGGCCCATGGCTGGATGCAAATCTATCGCTACATGTGCACACAAACTGGGATTTTGCACATGCATCTCTGGCAGTCTACTTGAAAATATGCACTTAACTAGAGACTGGAGAGCAGTCACTTTCTGATATGTGGGAGATGGTGTTGAGAGTGGGCATGGCAGGGAAGAGTTGTGTGAAACTTCACAAGATAGTCCTCTCAAACTGACAACCCTATCTCTTTTGTGCAGGGGACAGGCGTTCTATGGGGCTGGGAGTTAGATATGCTGAGAAATGGAGTGTGTGGTGTGGAGATGGGAATGGAGAGTGATAGGGAGGAGGTTTGTGGGTCTGGGAATGAAGGTGTTTGGGGCTCGTAGATGCTGGAGGATGGGGTGTGTGGGGCTCGGTGTGGGGGATGCTGGAGGCTGGGGTTGGGGCTGGATTTGCTGGGGGATGGGTGTGTGGGACTGGTAGATGCTAGAGGATGGGGTGTGGGGAATAGATTTGCTGGGGGATGGGTGTGTGGGACTGGTAGATGCTGGAGGATGGGGTGTGTGGGGCTAGCAGTGGGGGTGTGCTGGGGGATGGGGTGTGTGGGGCTGGAGTGGTGGGAATGGATTTGCTGGGGGATGGGTGTGTGGGACTGGTAGATGCTAGAGGATGGGGTGGTGGGAATGGATTTGCTGGGGGATGGGTGTGTGGGACTGGTAGATGCTAGAGGATGGGGTGTGTGGGGGTAGCAGTGGGGGTGTGCTGTGGGATGGGGTGTGTGGGGCTGGCAGAAAGGACATACTAGGGGAAAGGGTGTGGGGGTGGGGGGTGGGCTGGAAGTGGGGGATAGGGCGTGTGGGAAAGGGCATGAGGGAGATATTGAGACTTGGGCTGGGAGATGCTTGAAGAAGGGGCTCCCCGCGGTGCATGCCGGGAGAGGAGGCAGGGCGCGGTGCATGCCGGGACGCGAGCCTCCGCTTTAGCTTCCCAAGATGGTCTCTAGGCTCCTGTCCCCGCCCTCCCTCCTGCACATGCGCAGTGAGTGCGGCGGGCCGAGCTGCTCCCTCCCTCCCTCCCTCCTGGCGGCCGGGGCGCTACTGACAGACCGAGGAGCCGGAGCGGCGGCGGCGAGAGCGGGTCGGAGCCTGCCGAGACCCCCCCCTCTCCTCCCCCGCACCCCCACCGGCCCCTGTAGCGCCACCCCCACCCACTCCACAGGGTTCGGCGCCGGTGAATGGGAGCGACGGGCGGCACCGGCCTCAGGGATCGAGGAGAAGCGGCGGCGGCGCGGGTAAGGCCGTGTCCGGGGGAGAGCCCCTCTCCGCCCCCAGCAGCTACCCCCCCCCCCCATCCGGGAGCGGCGGTGCGAGCCAGGCCCTGCGGTCCGTGCGCCTCTCTCCTCCCCCTGCCCCCTCCCTCCTTCTCTCCAGCTCGGCTCTCAAAATGGCTGCCGCGCCCGTTGGTGGTGAGGAGGGAGGGGGGGCAGGGCGAAGTGGGAGGACAAGGGGGGAGCTCCCATCCCCTTCTCCGCAGCACTGGGGGCGTGGGGGGGGGCAGACCCCCCCTTCACTGGGTCTCAGCTTCCCCCTCCCGCGGTGATTTAACAGGAAAATAGGCCAAGGCGGGGGTGGGCCAGGCAAGGGGATGGGAGAGAGATGTGCCCCTTCTCGGTGGGCTCCAGCTCCCTCTCTCTGGGTCTTTTGCCCCCCACCCCCGCCCTTTCAGGCCTTTAGTTCTCCCCTTCCCCTAATGACTTAGCAAGAAACCAGCGAGGAGAAGACGGAGCTGATGGGCCGGACAGGAGACTGATGATAATAATAATAAAAAAATTGAGGTTGAAGAGGGTGGTGTGTGTTGTGTAAACTCCCCCCCCCCCCAATCCCTTAGAGGATCTAGTTTTGTTTTTTCCTTCTCTTGTCCCCTTTGAGATTTGTTAGGAGGTGGCCCAGATCTTCGGAACCAGCTGCAGCACTAACAACAAAACCAGGATTGCTACTAGAGAGGAGAGGTCTAGTCTTTATTTTGAGTCAGTTTCCCACCCGCCTCTACCTCCTTGTAGTGATTTAGTAAGAAAAAAAAACATTGCTAGGAGGTGGGTCAGACCTTCAGAACCAGCTGCAGCAGAAATGGGGGAGGAAGGTCTAATCTCTCCAATTTTTTGGGGGGTGTCAAGCCCCTGCCTAGTACTTGGCATTAAAAATGGCTTTTAGGACAAAATAGGTGAATGGGAGAGAGGATGGAAATCTAAGTAGGAATCTTTCCTGCTGCTGTTGGCTTTTGTGCAGGATGAAGTCTATATGCAGGCAGGTTTTTTTTTGGGGGGGGGGGGAAGAGTGGTGTCTTCTCTCTTACCTTAAAAAGTTGGGGTGGCTCAGTTTTCTGACTGTAAAATTTATGCACGTAGGGTGAAGGAGATGGTGTACTTGGCCTTTGATACAACAATAATGTGGCACCCCCACCTCCTTTGCCATAGTAGCTGTGGTAAAATTTCTCTGCTGATAATGCTGCAGCAGGGCTTGGTTGTTGCAGGTCAAATCAATTCATAATGAATTACCTAGCCAGGGTGGTGGTAGGTTACTGAAGCTATATTAAAAGCCTTCATTGAACTGTTTGACTGCAAAATAATCGTAAGTGATATGTTTAGATTTATTAACCAGATTGAATCATCTCTGTGGGTGGGGGGTCAGGGAGTATATTATGGCAAAATGTTACTTATACATTTTAGTTTTGAGGTGGGGAGAAGAATCTGTTCACAATGATTTGTTGTTTGCTGCACAATCGTTTCATATTCAACTGGCTTTCAGAAGAGGGAGGGTCTCCTACCAAAATGTAGCATTTGCCTTTAAAGTGTCTCTGAAAAACAGGAAAATATACTAAGGAGCTAAACAAAGAAAATATGTATTTATCAAAAGGTTTTGTTGCTGATATCTGGTTTGTTTTCAGGGCTATTGTTTTTGTGTTTTCTTTTGATTTGACCATGTTTATGGATGCTGGGTGCAGCCATTGAGCAGAGAAGAGACTGGGTGGAGTAAGGAGGCAGAAGCTGCGAAATGGCTAGATTACCCTTTCATAGCATTTTTTTTCTTTGCTTGCATTTTGCTGGGGTGCGGGAATGCTAAATGCTGTAACAATGAAGTCTCTTCTTTAGGGAAAAGTCTAGTGATGCAGGAACCTTCTGAAATGAAACAGATCTAGTATTCTGTTTTGTGGTTTATTTTTCTGCAGGGTGGGTATCGATTAGTCTGGCAGTAAAAAGTGACCAGTCACTGTTGCAAAGCAAGGATTATGTTGTATGATTATCCTTTTCATATGTTGACTTTGATTTTTCAGTTGTTGACTTAATTTCATTTAAATAAATATAAACTAAGGATTATCATCATATTTAAGGGAGATTGTTTACACTGATGAATTGAAAAAAATGCATTCTGAATTCTTATATTGTGGTTTGGTGCTGTTTGTTCATTCATATAACTTAATGTTTTCCCTACACCTCCAGTGCCCTAGCAGGGTAATTTTATAAGGTGTAGGGAATGCAGGACTTGAAGGTGGGTGATGCAGTTATGTGAAGTGATGTGTAAAGATTTTTAAAGCTCTTGTACAAAGGTGTTGCTTTGTGTAGCATTCTCATACAACTAAAACCTTCAGTACCATGGGTAATATTGGTGCTTAGGTTTAAAGATGAATAGAAAAAGCTTTAGAACAAAGAGGTTTGAGGAACATCATAGGGATCAACTGGTAGACATCTAGGAAGGGCTTCTTATTATCTCTAGAAGTACTCTCCTCCTCTAATGAGGGGAAGCAGTGTTCCCACCCAAATCCAGTCTTGACCATAGAAAGTATAACATTGAACTTAAGATGATTCTCTGATAAGTTGTCTGAATCATTTTTTGTATGGTGCTTGTATCTTTTTCATTTTGGGGTTTAGTCTCTGGTATTAGGTGAGTATAGACTAAACTTATTTGCAGAATTAACATACAATTAAATATCTATTACAGGGCAGTTGTTTTTAAAAGATAATTTTTGATTTATTAGAGAAACTGGTGTTACGGATCAGGAAAGGTTTATGATTACTAACAAAACATCTGTCCTGTAAGATGTCTCCAGAATAGGAAGAAAGCTAAATCTAGCAGAATACTTTCCTCCTTGTAACTTTGGAAAGATGAAATGCATCTTCTTAAGTGCCTTTAGTACAGGAATAACCTGTTCATTTTCTATTCTCTGAAGGAAGTAGCAGCTAATACTCACTTGTATAGCTCTATGCAAGGTTCTCCTGCCTACAAATCTGACATCATTTCTTCCTACACTGCTTCCTATACTCCACCCAATCTTCTTTTGAAAAATTTCAGTCTTTATCACCTACTCTCAACTTTGTGCCTTCTTCCATGTTACCTTTTACACCTAAAACAGCCATTCAATCAATATTTGCTGAGTGTCTTGCCTCACTTTCAAAACTATCTTTTCCTCAAGGCCTATGCACTCTAACTTGCATCCAGCTGTACTATACATTTGTATTTTTTGAACTCAGGGCCTTGTCTTGTTTGTCAAAACAAAAATGGTTTTTTTACTATTGTTAAATGTTATACATGTGAATGGTCCTTGAATACATTTATGTAAGTTAATAGCAAAAAGTTGAATATTTAAATTCTTATTTGAGAAGTTATTATTAGACATGAACTGCAGTTGTCTGAATTATTGTTGGGAGAAGTAATAGCCTTTGCATAGTAGAAGCTGGTTGCAAATTTAATACAATGCACTTAACTTCTGTTTGGAAAACTGGTTGGGCCCAAAGACAAAGGAAAATTTTAGAAAACTCATCCACCTTCCAGGAAACAAATTGTTTGGATCAGGGGAGACACAAACGTATCCTGATTTGAAAGTTTGGTTCCCTTAAATTAAAAACAGCTTGTTATTGCCTGTTCGAACTTTCCATGTAGTTAAATCTCCTTAATCTATTAATGATTTTTGTTGTGGATATTTTGAAGTCCAATCCTGCTTCTAACAAGTGCGCTTTATTGGCTCATTGCATTGCATTTTAGAATATATTGGTATTTCCATAGGTTCCAGTTAAGAGATACTCCTTTTTCAAATGTTAGAGGCCTGTGTGTTGGAAGAACAGTATCTGGTTCTGGCATTAAGTGTTAGGATGAAGCATTGGCCTCTATATAGTTAAGTTTGCAACCACAGTTTTAATAAAAGGCTAATTTTCAGCTCCATTGTAACTCCCCTCCCTATCTTGTTTTAGAATGAAGTATGATAATAGAAAGCTTAATAATTTTCAGAAGACAAATACTTCTTGTGATTAAAATACTTTAAAGTAGCTCTTGGAATAGTAATTAAAAGTATTTTCCAGCACAGTGGGGATCCTAGTCCCAATTGGGGCCTTTGGGTGTTATGATGATACTGGTAAATATTTATAATGTTGCTTTAAGTTCTTCTGTCTGCCCAGCAGTCATATTACATCTCAAATATTAAATAGGTAAACTTTGACACTGACTCTTGGAGGGCACAGGAGTAGTAAAATGTTCAAGAATCTGCCGTTACCTGTAAATTAGACATGATCTGAAGGAGCCATGTCATTGAAATTGACAGAGGAAAAACATGGTGTCAGAACACTTTGAGTCTGAGCTGACCAAGGCTATTCTTCAAAGAAAAATACTCCTCCTCCTGCATTCTCCACCAAAATATTCCCTTGATTTAGGGGGAATATGTACAGGGTCATCTTCCAGATGGAAGTATGTGTTTAAAAAAAAATCAAGGTTCTGTTCTGAACTATAAAGTGGTAGACACATAACACATCTGCTAGACCACACAGCCTCTCTGACCAGGATGAGTCCAATTTCTGTGCTAAAGTAAAGTGTAATGAGGATAATGCCTTTGATAAAGTGTGTTTGGGCCTGCTGATGACTACTGTATAATAATAAAGTACTTTTAGCAGCCACATCTTTCACCTAGGGCGAGTAGGAGGTACTGATTCAATGATTTGTCTAAGATGACATAGTGTAGCAAGTTATACGTTGGATGTGGAACAGATTTGGGATCTAAACTTCAGTCTGGCATACAACTTGTTGTAATCTGTACTGCATATGCCATGAGTGTCTAATTTAGCTGTGTAGTAGGAAAGGGATTTTTCAACACTATCAACACTTATCAAATGCAGGAAGGATTCTGTTGGAACCATTGCTGTATTGATCACTGGTACCTCTCTAACTTAACCTAGTGAATTGTCCATCCTGTGTCACTAAAAAAAAAAAATTAAATATTTTACAAGGAAAAAATGGAATGATGCTGTGA